TTTTCATACCACTTGGGTCATATATTCGATTCAGTCTGAAAATACTGACAAACTGAGAAAACTTTATAATCTCAAATGTTTTTTTTGTTTTTTTTTAGGATGAAAGAAACCAAATAATGACGACTAATGTATGGCTAAAGCAGGTGAGTTTCTGGGCACGAACAGTACAGAACTATTTAATGGAATTGAAAAGCATGGGAATCAAGTTCACTTTTATTAGCCTTGTGTTGTTAAGTAAGAAGTCTACTCCCAATACCTGGAATATATCTATTGTATTGTGTATACTCACAACCAACGTACGGATGTTAAATCTACTAAAAAACACATTTTGGGTCAAGAGATAACTGTGGTTATAATTTGTGAATGGCGGGCATGTTGTCAGTACCATCGGTTCCTAGGGTGAAACTATTGTATAATATCTAAACGTCTTGACTGGTGGCATAGGTTCTGACAATCGTGACAAAGCGGTAGTGTTTAACTCTGAATTCTAATGTTAATTTGTTCCTTTATAAAAAACTATAATATTGTAGCTGTTATATTGTTCACGTCCGCACAAAAATATTTTGAATATCAATTTTTAGATAGTATTTAACAAATGATCTACAAATCATACTTATCAAATACTTCAAAACATAAACAAATGACGTATTATTTGACTCAACTTTCTCTACAACAAAACACATGAGTAATGTTGTACCTGCCTTATTTATATTTAAAAGAAAACACGTGTCATTTATAATCAACATATCTTAACACAGTATTTAGCTGCGAGTAACTTTCCGACGTGTCAGGCAGGCATCATCTGCGGTCTCTGTGACGTATTTCATCGCATTGAGATGAAAGAAAAGTTTTCGATGACCGGCATGAACCCTGAGTCAATCGGGAGTCTTGGAAACGTATCGCAATCGATGTATGCGGCAGAAACGGCCCCAGAAGACGTCCAATTATTTAATTAAAATATCCGGATAAGTAACGTGGAACGGAGACAGAATAATAATATGTTGAATTAAATTTTCTCCTTAACAAAACCAATTTTATATCGAGTAATTGGCTATTCATTCTCTTGTTTCCTCGAGCTAAATAACTTTTTATCGCCAATAAATTGTTTTTTTTTTTCTATTTCTATTATTTCTACTTTAACATCTTAAATCATGCAATGCTTAATGTTAAAGTCGAATACAATTTATAAAGTTTAGTGGAAACGCCCATAATATAATAGATAGATAGATAGATTCAACGATTACATTGTGCCAAGTATGACCTAATACAAATCATATTTCTTTGTTTTTCTCATTGGAAATTACCAAACCATAAATACTAAAAATATCACAGTATCACAAAATAACTCGTGTACAGAATATGACGAAACTACTCCGCCTCGCCGCTACAATTTCCCATTGTACTGTTAGTCCCATGTACGCATCTTTCTCAGTTATCTGATAGCGTAACGATACTAATAGAGAGTAGAAAAAGGCGAGTCTATGCCATCCTGTTACGATGTTATCACACATTTAATTTAATTAGCAGTATCTCTCCTTCTAAAGTACCCGATAACCTTATGTAAACTACCTCAGAATTTGTGTCGCATGCAAATTGCACTTTTTTCTTTTTTTTCTTTTTTGAGTGAGGTGGGGTGCACTTAAAATAATGTCATAACTGCCCAAGTGTCTCAGCACTTCTTGTTTTTTAATCCTTCCGTTATCTCGATTCCATCTCCCGACGACGACGGCAGTTAAATTATTTGAATCGGTTAGTTCAGATGCTATCAGGCTTTTGTGTAATTCTATTTAGGAGTTTAAAACGGTCATGTCGCCATAAATTGCCGACCGTCCTTTGATGTGAACTGTACGGGAAAGTAGAACTTCGCCGCTCTGTGAATATCAATTAACGACGGGAGGGATCTCCGCTAGAGGTTAATCGTGTCCTAAACCTACCAGCGAATATCTATTGTACATTGCTTTTATCGCAAATCCCATGGGTTGTAGCCTGCAACGCAATGTTCGTACCATGACGGATTGATTTATTAAATGAGAATAGCCGAGTTGAGTTCAAACCACGATGACAATTTTTAGGGATTGACTATTACCCCTAATCGTCCGGCCATTTATTATATCAAAAACAAAAAAGTTTATGCTGTAAATCAAGCACGACCTATCATTGAATTTCGAATACAAAATGTAAAAGGGGAATCTTTAGCGGTTTACGATGCTTTCATACAGACATGTAATGCTAAATTAAACCAGATATGTAAACTTATGAATTTGCTGATTGTAATTTAAATGTAATAATAATAATAATAATAATCGTGTCGAATACTTTCAAATATAATATATCTTGACAGTTATAGGCATGTTTTAACCAGCTGTCTACTAATGGTAAACGTTATATAATCCTTGGTGACGTAAACATTGATATTTCAGTCAACTTTACGTCTGCTACTAATTATCTCAATCTTCTCAGTACATATAACTTCGCTCAAATTATTACAACACCTACAAGAGTTGCTGGTACTTTACATACAGCCATCGACCATCTAGTAACTAATATCACGGACCATTTCTTCGAATGGGGTAGTATACACTCTGATTTCACCGATCATAATTAAGACCTTTACTCATGTTTTCAGATAACACCATATAGAAATACGATTTTGACAATTACAATGTGGTCGCTTTTTGGCTGAGTTGGACAAGGTTTTCTCGCAAAAGGTGTATGATTGTTTCGACCCAAATATCGCATATACACAATTTTATGACAACTTCTCGGAAGTCTCGTCAGAGTTGACGAAAGTTGGAAAGAGAAGTTCAGCTCGTAAATCAAGTCAACCAAACAATGCATTACCTAAAGTAAATTTTCACTCGCTCACGACAAAAGCAAGAAAACTTGGAAAGTTATTAATCCTACATCCTGAACAAAAGTAATTGTAGTTTCCCCCACTTACATTAAATTCAGCAGATGGTACGCCCCTGATTAGTAGTGCTGATAATGGTGAGGAATTTAATGAATTCTTCACCAATGTTGGCCCTAACCTAGCAGCTACTATAACTAATGCTGGTGATTTTAGAAAGTATCTTAACAATAATCAAATTCATTCTTTCTTTTTTCGCTTTATTTGTGAGGCTGACATTTTAACTGAAATCACTATTTTGAACCAGAAGGTGTTTTTCCTGACCCATTGAAAATTGCTAGAATAATTTCAGAAATGATTGCCAAACTGAAGCCAGTAATTATCGTCCTATTTCATTTCTTCCAGTTCTAAGTAAGGTGTTTGAATCTGTTGTTAATAAACAATTCATTAACTTCCTTGATAAATATGACATACTTTCAGACAAACAGGTTGGTTTCCGGAGAAAACATAGCACCAAACTCGCCTGGTGACAAGCATTTCTAATAACATGGACAAGGGCTACATAAGCGACCGACCGAAAAATATGAAATATTGGGTCGCAGTATTTGTCTTTTTGTGGGTTGATCTGTATATCTCTGACATGTTCCGAATACTGTGAAGTCTGAAGAGCAAACACGTCTTTTGCATTGATTCCCATATACCTTGACTATTTACGATACCCTTAGATTTCATGAGTTTAAAAAAATAATAATAATAATCCGACCGACCGACCCAATTTCTCAATTTTCCGACTTGAGGGCAACATAAGTGTTGTTTTTTTTGGCCTAACTTTTGGCATTTTCATTGATCATAACAATGATTACGACACTATTAATCACACAATCCTTCTCCCTAAACTTGCTACAGTGGTTCAACAATTATTTTTCAGATCGCCAGCATTGTGTCCAAACTAATAAAAACAATAATATCAAATGCGACCGATTCTCAATTGTAAAAATGCTAGTACCAATAATTAATATTGCTTTTTTTATTGATATCCTTATACATTTGCCTAATTTAATTAAATTTAATTTTTGCTCACCTTCCATGTTCATTTCATTTTCACCGCCACTGTATTCATTCTAACGATATTATTTCATTATTACAAAGGATTATTATCTGTCAACTGTTTCTTTTCTGTATTATTGACAAATAATTTTGCTACTTATTGGTCAGACGCTTTTTTCATTTTTCCCTTGCAGTAACTGTTATGAAAGTAGTGCCTTCATGTACATAGTATTTATTTATTTATTGATTTTTATTTTCACTTGCTAGTTTGTTTACTATAAAACGGGTCACTGACCATATTCATATATTCATTCAAACCTGAATTAAAATACCTTGAATTGTTTAATCCCATCCGTAATCACTGATTCAGAACCTATAATGTTGAATAAAACAAGTTCATTGCACTCAATGCAAGCATACGTGCTTTATATTTGGTGTACGCTTGGCACTAGGGAGAGAGACACCTGTATTTGCACAATGATCAATATGAATACCTTGCTAATATCCAATAAATATTTTGTTTAACATTTATCGATTCAACAAACACTCAGTACAGTGTATTTTCAAAACCCATATATACACCGTTAATATAATCTATGTTGTGATGTGTTTCGAGCATGTAAACATAAATTAATGTATTAAGTTTGAATGACATTTGGCTTATTCGAAAGAAATATACGCTAGCAGCATTTTCTCAAGCTGCGCGGCTTGAAAGTTATTTTCTAAATGTATAAATCTTCTAAAAGTAAATTTACAATACCAAGAACACAACACAAAAGACAGACAACATTAATCCGATGGTAATCGATGACGGTTTACTTCGTTTGAATGCGTTGCGATTTTACGTAGATAAAATCATCCATAAAAAGTGGAATGTCCGCCTCAGACTTACAGCAGGACTTAATTAGCTTACTCTAAATGGGCCAATATATTATCTTCCCGTCCATATTAAATATAGACTGAAGAATACTAAGTAATAATAAAAGACGTATGATTTTTCTTTACTTTGAGGTTTAAATTTTGGATATCGGGGTGGATGACCTCTGAGCATGTCAATTTATCTTGTCATCGGATCAGCATGCACACTTAATACACATCCATTTTTCCGTTCTTGTTTCCGGAAGTGAAGTGTAGATTGAATGTACAATATCAAAATCAAAATGCACCACGAATTATAAACAACAGTAATGGGAAAACTGCGGTGAAAATACGGTATATTGTGTTTTAGATTTAAATTTGCGATCACACGCAATGGTATATCCGCCTAATTATGTCTCCTCAACACCGCTTAACCGACAAATGTGTCAACATAGACAGGAACGGACTGTGTTTGCATTTAGATTTATAGTATTGCGCAGTGAGTGTGTTCAACTTTCAGTCGACATAGCTTCTCTAATCCCCGCTTATTCATGGCAATTCCGTCGAATAATCTGTCTTCGGGTCACGTAGCTCTGCTTGACAGGTAAATTGTGAATCCCTACTGTGCCTTCAAAAAATGCACGAGTTGCCTAAAGCAAGCGCGAAAAAAAAACACGACTGGGATTAATGGCGACTGACTGTTATTTGCGAATATTGAGGACGGAAAAGATTATATAGAATTATATTTACTCCAAAATATGCTCAGACTGACAAGAAAAATACATTTTACAAGAAGGCGTCCGTTTAGTAGATTAGAAATCAAATAAGAATTTGATAGTATTTGCTACACGGATATATTTATTACTTAAATGTTTAAATAATTAAAGTTATTTCGTCTAATAATTAATTAAATAGTTACAGTTAGCTCACTTAATTTATATGACTTAATCAATTAACTGATCAATTAATTACAGAAAGCTCATTTATTTATGAATGATGTTATTATTGAACCGGTTTATTCATTTATTTATTCTGTTTTTCTACGACGATAAACTCATGCTCATCCAACCTCTCATTCGTAATTTCAGGAATGGGTGGATTACAGATTGAGATGGAACCCAGCAGAGTATGAGGGACTGAGCGTGTTGCGCGTACCTTCCACGTATCTATGGCTTCCGGATATAGTACTGTATAACAAGTAAGTCACGTGTTAGATCTTCACGCAATAAAGTTAAAAAAAGAACAACGGGTTACATCGCATTGGGCTAAATCAAATGGCGCCTGTTGCCTGACACAGGAAGGCAAGGCCACATGTAGTTCCATATAAAAAAATGGTATTTGTCTGGTTTGGCTCAAGCTTAATTACTATATTTGTGTAAAAAAAGTTACTTTCAGAAACAAGAATAAAACAAATCGTAGAGGAATCTTCCAATGGCATCTCGGCACGATTTCGGTCATCACTGAGATAAAGGTAGACGTTTCAATAGGTAGACTAAGGTAGACGAAGGTAGACGAAACAATGGATGTAGGTAACATCTGCTCAGACTGTTGCTTAGGAAACTCTGTTTGAGAAGCTTAGTAGTTGTATCACGACCTAGGTGATACCTACCTAGGAGTGAATTATACATACTATGTCTGTGGCCTTCTGAATGATTGTTAAACTCGAGTCATTGTGAAAGTCATAACAAATCCAAAACATCAGACTTAGATATTTTCATGACAATGGTAGTACTCCTTTATATCAGAAACTATTCTTATTATGAATCCGATTGAGTTGATCTGCATGATCGTAAGGAAGTGGGGTACTGTGATCAGGCGTGGTAATGCATGTTCTAAGATGGATCAGTTTCTTAAAGAATGACTTAAGAATAAATTGTTACGAACAAACCATAGCCTATTTATAGGTGCGCCCTTATTAGTTGTGAAAAGACAAGATAAAACAGCACGATTCTGTCACATTTGACGATCCATCAGACATTCCACAGATAAATGACAGCCATTTTGTACCGATCAATATACCGCACACTACTTAACTACAGGATAATGGCAATAAGCCAATAAGCATTCATCTGTCATGAACAATTATTCCATTTAAGACTATGCCATATGGAGTTAAATATGGTCCAGCAACTTGAAAGTGAAATCATACTGAATTATCTTGATAATTGTATATGCGAGACTCACTTGCAAAAGATATAGCTGATCGTCATTACCCAGAAAGTAACATGACTGTTACATTACATGCCACGTGATTTTTACCACGAAATCAACATAGAAATCTATACATCTCGTGTTTTGCATTGTGGCAAAGTTAACAAATTTGGGGCTAAAGCAAGGGTAATATTATTGCTTGGGTAAGTGCCGTTATCGTACAGCTGTATATGGTTCTTTGAAATGGACCAGACAGATGAAACGCCGATACGACCTTGTCAGACCCCCCCCCCCCCAAACACACACACACAGAAAACAAAAGCAACGCAATATCATTTGATATTTTAATGTGAAGATCATGACAAAAGGAATTTCCTATTTAGAACTGGGAGAGATGTGGAGGAATTTTGCAGACGATATGTTATTTCAAGATTCCCCATGAGGTTTAACAAACGGTAGAGGCTATTGCTATTGAGAGGGGTACCCACAGAACTCACACTGGACAGGGGGTTCTTTCACTGCTAAAATCGGGTAGACAGGACAATAGTACTGGAAATGAAATACACATACACCAAAATATTAGGTTAATGCTCCTGGCTTTAATACCTCTCAAAATAATTACAAGAATCGAAGCACAGAATATTAAAATAAATAAATTCACTAAAATGGGGATTGCCTAGGGAAGTGTGCATTGGTGATAACTCACAGTTCCAGCATGTGGAAATGGCTGCTGCAAAACAACGACGAAGAAATGCAGGAGTCTTGCTTGCAGAGAAGCTGTTATTCTGGAGGGCACCGCTGATAGCAGGAGATCGCAGAGCAGTTCATACAAGTCTCACAGAATAATGATTGAAGTCTGTATCACTTGTTTCACAATATTGCAGCAGCAACACACGGAGTAGTCAGTTGAAATGGTGGACTGTTCTCAGTCTAGCCTATTTATATGCATAAATGGCCAAGATTCAGATACACCACCTGGGTTTCCACATGAGCCAGTCAGAATTTGGTCTTGCTAGCAGTGTCTCACGTGGGCAAGTCAGTGGATCGTAAACTTCTTTGGTTAATTAAATCACATGCACACCTGGTAGATTCCAATTGGCCTTCCAGAGTTGTTAACATCCTTTGTTATGTAAATTACAGGCACACCTTGTAGATTCCAATTGGCCTTTCAGAGTTGTAAATATGACCTTAAGTATGCAAGTTGTAAATATGACCTGTCAATAACACGGCAATGCACCCGTGTCTTACCATGGTTCCATACACACTTCTATGTGCATGGTTTAAGGTAATATATAAAAACATAGAGTAAAAACAAAGATCGTAGTATAATGTTTGGCACCCGAGGCCAGTAATATAACATTCCCTATACTCCATTTGAGGTAGGAGGGAAGGTATTCTTCTCTCATCTAAAGTATGGATGCGGACAGATAAACATAAATATATAATATTGGCAAAGTAAACCAGGTTTGGAAATCCACTTGGAGACTTTTAGACAAGTTAACCTCGT